GCTGGTGTCCAGCCAGGAGAGGACAGCACCAAATGGAAACTCAGCCTTGGCAAAGTCTGGAAGCACCCCAGGTCCTGCCTGCCCTTGCCAGAGGTGCTCCTCCTCAGCTTTATCTCATTTCTTCAGCTCAGCATGACCAGGAGCCTCTCCAAGCCCTGAGAGCTGAAGGACACAAGCAGATGAAGCCTCCCCTGGCTGCATGTCCTGCTCTAAGGGGGCCACACGGCTCTGATGGAAAACTGTGGATAAACCAGGCAAACCTTTGAAGGTTTCTGCAAACCAGGCAGCTAAGACTTTGTAGGTTCACTCCTCATTAGCAGGAGCTCATGGGTGACTGATATGACACAAGTAGGCTGAGTAGGAACCCCCCCCCAACTCCTCAGCCCAAATTACCGCAGATGGGTTTGCCCAGAGGAGCAGCCAGAAAAGAAAATGGGTAAGTAAAAATGAAAAACATTTCTTTTTTCACATTAGCATTTAAATATTTATGGAAATCCCTGCAGACAACGAGATGAAAAAGAAAACTCAAGGAGTAATAAATAAGTCAATGCTCCAAGGTGTGGCTGCACAGCTGAACGCGGCTGGCGGAGCTTTGAAGAGCGTGGTAACCAAAAATAATAATGGTGGTAATAAAAATATTAGAGCAAACCCCTCTGCTCTCTGCAGACCCTGAGATTAGCTCAGTACAGTGCTAATAAGGCCAAAGTTGTGGGTTTGAGCCCCATGTGGGTCATTCACTTAAGAGTTGGACTTGATGATCCTTGTGGGTCCCTTCCAACTCAGAATATTCTGTGATTCTGTGACACTGAGGAATCGATCACTCATTAGCTAAAGAAAGCTCCTGTCCATGCAGTGACCTGTCCCAGGCTCTAGTGAGAGAAATAATTAAATAAAGCAAGATAATGATGGGAGAGTGTTGGCAGAGGCACTGGTGAGACGTAAGGACAGATTTCTGCCTTAAATTGTTTGCCTGAATATACAGAAGCCAATACTTTTGCTTACAGTACAGTGGCATTAGTCATGAGTAAATATGTTCTCAATTGTCTGGAGTGAAACCCAGAGGGAAGAGTTAAGAGCTTCTCAAAGGCAGAGACATTCAGCTCGTCTTCGAGCACCAATACCAGCTCAGCACCCAACAAAACGTCAGCATGTCTTGGATCACATGTGATAGAAGTGACCCTTGCTCTCCTTCCTTCCAGGGAGGAAGCAAACCAGGGCACTGGCCTGGGGATTGGAACAAGATGATCTTTAAAGTCCCTTCCAACCCAAACCATTCTGTGATTCTGTGAAACCAAATCCAGAAGGAAGGTCTATTTTCCTCCTGAGGTCAAATTTCCTCCTGAGCTGGACACCTCTGGTGACAGGGAATTGTCAGGATAGCCCCCCATCACCACACAAGGAAGGACAGGTACCACCTTCCACTAGACCAGGTTGCTCCAAGCCCCATCCAGCTTGGCCTTGGACACTTCCAGGGATGGAGCAGCCACAGCTTCTCTGGGCAACCTCTGCCAGGGCCTCACCACTCTCATAGGGAAGAATTTCTTCCTAAATCCCTGGGATGGGATGGGATGGGATGGGATGGGATGGGATGGGATGGGATGGGATGGGATGGGATGGGATGGGATGGGATGGGATGGGAAGAACCACTCCCAGCAGTCAGGGGCTCATTCCAGCCTCTCTGCCTTCAGACTGTGAGAGCAGCACTGTCGTAGAACAGCTTGAGAGGTAGAAGCAGAGTGAGAGGGAAGAGCCTGGATTTTGGAGGTACGGGTGCCTGCTGTTCCCACCGTCTCTCAGCTGGGAAGCAATTGCTCCATGCCTTTGGAAATCAGACTTGGTGTAGCAGAGGTTCTCAAAGAAGTAAAGGGTTGGCATCTAAGATGTTTGATACGACGAGAGCAGAGCTTTGGAGAGTAAACAAATTCTGTGCCAAAAGCTGCTCTCATTTACAGCTACAAAAATCCCAAGTCACTCTGAACTGCTGAAAACATCAGCTTCATGAGCAGTCAAGGAAATGGAATCACAGAATCGGGGAATCATGGAATGGTTTGGGTTAGAAGGGACCTTAAAACTCATCTCGTTCCACTCTCCCATGTCCTGATGACCCCTAGACTTCCAGCTCTTGGGCAAACCTGGAAATATTGAATCCTCAAGGAGAAAGAATAAATACTGATGCAAGAAGCATAAAAAAGGGAATTCTCTCTCCCAGGTGTTCAAAGAATTTGGAGGTGATAAAGGCTGGTGTATTAGAAACCATTCCACATTTAAGAAACACCTCTTAAATGAGGGCTGGGTGGAGATGTGAGCCCAGCACACAGCTGGTCTGGTTTCTGCTCCTGCCCCATGGATATCCAGTTAGATATCCCTTCTACAGCAGCACACAGAGCTGTGTTTGGGGTCCATCTGGCATTTTTGGGGGTGTCCTTTCACATCATTTATGGGAAGGTGGGTCCAAGCTCTGAGCTGCCCACAAAGGAAGAGGTGAGTGCTGCCATCCTGCCTCACTCACAAGCTTATCTCTGACAGAGTCCACAAGAAGATCCTCCAGGGAAGAGCCCACCCTCCATCCGGCGGGATCACCACACCAGTAACTCCACATCATTTCAACACAATTAAGGAATCATTCCTTTAAAAATAGAATTTACATTAGCTGGATTTGTGCCTAGGAAAGCCACCGCAAACAAACAGAAAACCTGCAGATTAGGATGCTAATTAGATGCATTTCTATTTATAATCTGCCTTGATCAGGCTCAAGTGTTTTCTCTTTCAGGTGTCTGTGCTCCACCCACGGATGTGAGCAATTTCCCTGGCAGGGAAACACCTGCTTGTCCCTGGGGACAGGCAAGTGCTGGGAAAGGCCTGCACATGAGGGATGGGGGTTCATCCTGCCCCTTCTCCTTGGGGAGCAGCCCCAGAGGAAGGACAGCTTGTGCCTGGCTGAGGATACCTGTCCAGGGCCTTTCTAACAAACACTTTATTTCTCTGTGCTGGAAAACAGCAGGAAGCTTTTCCTCTCCCATGGAATTCATGGAATTGTTAAAGTTGCGAAAGACCTTTAGATCACTGAGTCCAACCATCAGCCCAGCACCACCACCGTGGTCACCACTAGCCATGTTCCCACGAGCCACATCCACAAATTTTTTGAACACTTCCAGGGATGGTGACTCCACCACTACCCTGGGCAGCCTGTTCCAATGCTTTACACCCTTTCCATGAAGAAATGTTTCCAATATCCAACCTAAACTTCCCCTGGCACAGCTTGAGGCCATTTCCTTTTATCCCGTCTGTTGTTCCACCCTCCTGTCAGAGAGTGAGAAGGTCTCCACTGAGCCTTCTTTTCTCGAGGCTGAACCCCCCCAGCTCCCTCAGTCGCTGCCTGTGCTCCAGTCTTGCTGGGGGTTGGACTTGATGACCTTGAAAGGCCCTTTCCAACCCTAACTATTTTATGATTCTATGGAATCTCAAAGAGCCAGGCTGGAAATGGCAAGGATTTGCAGCTGGTGGCAGTTGTGGACTGGAGAGCTCCGTCTGAAGAGGATGGACAGGCACCAAGAGGTCCCTGGAACCACTCTGAGTCACTGGGATCCTTCCCTTGACTGGGAATTCATGGCTGCAACTAGAGCATGTTCTATTTCAGGAGCAAGCTGGGAATTCAGTGCTGAGATGTTCCCAGCTAAGCCAGGGCTTGGCCTTGGTGCCTGTGTTTGTAATAATACTGGAAAAGCAACTTTAATTTTTTTTAATCTTTTCCCTGGATCTCCCTCTTTCACTGCAGAACATCCAGAAGGAATAAAGAGACACAAGATCCACTCTGTTCTCCCCCTAAAGCCTCCAACAAAGGTATATAGGAAATGTTTTGGGTCATAGGATTTATTATTAATGGGATTCTGGGGTGTCTGTGACCTGTGTAAAAGGGTCCAGTAAAAATTCAGTGACAAACTAAGACTTAACAATGTGAAAAAACAGCTACAAAGGTTGTGGGTTTTTTTAAATGCAGCTTAAAGAAAGAAACTTAAAATATATGAGTCATCATTTCAAAATGTGCATCAAACAAGTTAAATAACTCTTACTTTCTTAACAACATATTAATCAAAGTGCATTGATTCTTGAATCAGATTCCACTCCCACCAAGCTCTCTATCTTCCCCATCCTGATGCATGCATTAAGAGAGTTTTATTCTGACAGATACAATATAGCAATCAATAAAATCTTATTATATGGAGCAGAGATACATGGATTTGTTACAGGATTTATGCACTACTTTCATACCCAGTGCTATTTCATGTCTCAGCCTTAACCTGTAATTGAAAATAAATCTCCCTGAATACACCAGATTCTAATTTTCTGGATGTATGGGCAAATGTGAATGGAAGCTGGCCTTCCCTTGGGGAGAAGGCTGCTCTTGGATCCCATTGCTGCCTGGTGCACTTCGCTGGACTGACAGATTCCTGTGGGGAAAACACCCTGTGCAGGCAGGAAAATATGTGGGAAAATGGGCAGTGCCTGAGCACAACACTCCCAAACCCTCTGTCCCCTTTTTTAAGCCTCCAGAGCCACTTGCTGCCTCCTGGGCAGGGATAATACAATGTGACAGTGCCACAGCCTGAGCTGCACTGGCATCGCAAGGCTCGGATGGATGGATGGATGGATAAATGTCAGTGAGTGTGATGACCAGGCAGGCTGGTGGTTCTCTGTTTTCCTCCAGCTCTCAGGGTTTGATTTTGCTCACAGAATCATGGGATAATTTGGGCTGGAAGGGACCTTAAGCTCATCCAGTTCCACCCCTTGCTATGGGCAGGGACACCTTCTACTAGATCAGGTTGCTCCAAGCCCCATCCAACCTGGCCTCGGACACTTCCAGGGATGGGGCAGCCACAGCTTCTCTGGGCAACCCGTGGCAGGGCCCCACCATCCTCATCCTAAAAAATTTCTTTCTTCCTTCTTTTCTTCCCTCCTTCCTGCTCAGCAGCACACAAGTGTGTCTGGAGGCTGCCTCTCACCTGGCAGGGCCAGCACAGCTGGGAGGGTCCAGCAGGGACATGAGACAGACGGCCAGAGGCATCTTTCCTTTGGGCTCGTCTCGGTCTCCGAGGGCTCGGTGCCACTTGGATGTATGACAGCAGGTGGAAACCCAGCAGTCTCCCTGGAAATGGCTGGAGGGGACTTTGATCTAAGCAGCTCTGTCAACAGCGTTAATACAATAAAAATAATCAAATTCACTCAGATGGAAATGAGAGATGGAGGGATCAGCAGACAGCAGTGCAAATCCCAGGGAATAAAGAGGGCAGAGCAACAGCACATCCCCTCTGCAACACCAGGAGTTCAGAGGCTTCTCCAAGGAACCACAATCTCGGATTCATCAAAAAGTCACTGTTTTTTCCCCCTTTTTTCCCTTTCCTTTTCTAGCTGGAGGCACAAAGGGGGTGGGTTTGCAGAGGAAGGGCTGCCCAGCTTCCTGCGCAGCGCACACGCACCCAGAGGGAAAACAGGTCTGCAGTTGTTGCACTAAGCACCTGGTTTTCCCAAGATTTCCCCTGAAATGGAGTAGGGAGCTGCAGGAGCACATTGTGGGAGTGCTGGTGGCCAGACTCTGCATTGCTATTTTCTCCTCCTGCTCTGGAGGGAGGGACCATCCTTAACATGAGCTTGTTTTCCTGAGGAAACAGCTTAATGGGAGAAAAGGGGATTTTAATAAAGGAGCTGTCAGTCAGACAGGAAAATGACTGCTACCATTAAGTTTTGGCTATTTTTTCTTTTGGATCCTCTACTTTTGAGAAAAAAGTTAACTATGGTCACAAAACCAAAGGAGGGAATGAGCTCTGGTGACTCCTGGCTTTGTGTGTGTAACTGTGGGGATGGACACTCAGGTAGAGCCTCAAAATAATTATACTCAGCACACTGGGAACCCCAAGATAAGAAGGATGGGGACTGCTGGAGCAAGTCCAGAGGAGGCCATGGAGATGTTCTGAGGGTTGGAGAACCTCTGCTGTGGAGACAGGCTGAGAGAGCTGGGTGTCCAACCTGGAGAAGAGAAGGCTCCAAGGAGACCTTAGAGCCCCTTCCAGTACCTAAAGGGGCTCCAAGAGAGCTGGAGAAGGACTGCATAAGGGCCTGGAGAGATAGGACAAGGGGGAATGGCTTCCCAATGCCAGAGGGCAGGGTTAGTATAATTCCATAATTCTATGAAATTCAGCCATGGGGACTTGGCCACCACCTGCAATCACCCCATCATCTGCTTTAGGTGACCTGTAGGTCACTGATGGAGACACACTCCAGAGTTTGGCATGAGCAGAATGCTGGTATGGATTCAGAAATGGCACTGTCAGGGTTCAGGTGTTCAGCCTCACCTTTAAATCACCTCTATGACCTGGAAGTGGCAGATACGGCAGGTTACAGCCTGGCAGTGGCCAGGATTGACCTCTTTCAGATCCTGACAGTATGATCCAAAGTCACCCACGTCTGCTTAATGGGGGGAATTCACCCTTCAGATCTGGTCACTATGACAGGACACAACTTCTTTCATTCCCTGAGGTGGGAACCACGGGGACATTTGCCACCTCTGAGTGATCTCCAGAGGCTGCCAGTGCAGCAGGGGCAAGCAGGGAGAGGAAGGGGTAATAGGGCTCATTCACAGAACTGCCAGTTAAATGAGGCTTGGAAAAAAACCAGCCCCATCGACCCGATATCCACGAGAGAGATGGAGCAAGCAGTGATGAGGGGAATGAAAGGAAAGAAAGGCAGAGTGGGGGATGGGATGGGGAGGGGAGTTCAAGGCTCCTGTCTGAGGGAGGGAGGACATCAGGGAGGTCACCTGGACAGGTAGGGCTTGGCCAAGCACCCCCTGACCCACCCTGAACCCCCGTCCTGTCTCTGCTCCCCTCCCTTATTTCCAGCTCTGAGCTTTGCTCAGTTAGCGAAAGGGTTAAGTTTAATTTATACTGATTTCTATTTAATATCATTCTCTCCCCGTAGGAGCCGGCAGCTGTGAGCTGATTGTAGTCCCTCATTATGCAGTCTGTATCACTAATGGCCTGTGACAAAGGCATGCCATCTTCCCGGCCTTACCCCCGAGAGCCAATTAAACACACATACTCCCTTCCTGTTTGCAGCGCATTACAATGAAATTAAACTGAATTTCAAAATCATTTTCTCCTAAAGACATCTCTTTGCAATAATTAATGCACGCTATTCCTTTGCAGCTGAAATATTCATCAGGAGTGTTGACTAAAAAAATTTTTAGAGCTGATTGCCCTGCACCCCGTGCGTCGGCTGATGGTGCTCCGGTCCCAGCCCGCAGTACCCGCCTGGCGTGGGGACTCGTGGTGACACTGCTGGCAGAGTGATCTCTGCTCTGGGAGAACAATTATAATAAATCACAGCTTCTTCAAGAACCGTCAATAAATAAGGTTGCACAGAAGGCATCAGAAATCCAGCCTGACTCCTGACACAATGGCACTGCTAACACACAGCAAAGGGGAAAATAAGGAGGTCAGAGCTGTGGATATCATGGAATCAGAGAATCATAAAATCACTGAGGTTGAAAAAGACCCGCAAGACCATCGAGATCAACCTGTGACTGATCCCCACCTTGTCACCCAGCCCAGAGCACTGAATGCCATGTCCAGTCGTTCTTTGGACACCTCCAGGGATGGGGACTCCACCACCTCCCTGGGCAGCCCCTTCCAGTGCCTGACAACCCTTTCCAGGAAGAAATTCCTCCTGATGTCCAACCTGAACCTCCTCGAGCAGAGCTTGAGGCCGTTTCCTCTTGTCCTCTCACTGGTTGCCTGGGAGAAGGGACTGACCCCCCCCACACACATCTTGCTACAGTCTCCTGTCAGGGAGTTGCTGTAGCTGGTAGTTAATGATTCTATGATCCTATGACATGGTCCCCATGTAAATTAAGCTAAATCCCACCCGTTTGCAAAGTTTAATTCCCCAGAAAACATTAAGCAGTGGTATTCTATGCTTAGGAGCAAGGAACCCCAAACATCCCCCATTACTTGGCTGACTCACTTTGGCCAACACAAGCAAAGCCCCTTCCTGAGCCCAGAGTTTGGAAGCACATCCAGGCTGTGCTCCAGGCTGCCACCACCAATTCCCAACTCCCCCAGAAGCTGGGAAACCCTGTGGGCCAAATCAGAGCTGCTGTCCCCCTTTCCCCTCTGCCAGGTGCTGTGGGACGCCACCCTGTACCTGTTCTGAACCAGCCGTCAGGCGTGAAGGCATCTGCAGTTTCTTTGGGTCTGTTCCAGTATTCCCGGAAGACAGTGGGTCCTTTCACGAGCAGCTCCCCTTCTTGTCCCTCCAGACCTGGTGTCACCTAGGACAGGCACACAGTGAGTGCATCTCTCTATCACCTGTCCCCCAGCACCACAGTTTGGGAAGCAGCGTGGTGGGCGAAACACAGGACACACATCATGTGCTCTTCCAGCCTTTACCAACCTCCACCACCCTGCCCAGTCTGCAGGACCTCTTTCCTCAGGTGGAAGTGCTCAACCAGGTGCTTTTGATATTCCAAAGCACTCGAAAGAGACACCTGTGTCATATTAAAACAAGGACTGCTAACCTGGTACTGCAGTCCAGGTAGGGCAACACCTTCCAGCTGTTTGGAAGGAGCCCTCACATGCAAATATAAAGGAAATAACCTTGGGAAAGGGATTGTCTTTTCTGACTCCTTGAACACTTCCAGGGATGGGGCAACCACAGCTGCTCTGGGCAACCTGTGCCAGGGCCTCACCACCTTCTCAGGAAAGAATTCCTTCCCAATATCACACCTAACCCTGCCCTCTGGCAGTGGAAAGACATTCCCCCTTGTCCTGTCCCTCTCCAGCTCTCTTGGAGCCCCTTTAGGCATTGGAAGGGGCTCTGGAGCCTTCTCTTCCCCAAGCTGAACAAACCCAGCTCTCGTGCTCCCATGACACGCTCTCATGGCTGTGCCACCCTGCTCCCTGCTCTGTTGACAGACAAAAACCTTCACTTTCCAAAACTGTCAATCTAACAGTTATTTTTTTCCTGAGGAGGTGGCAGGAAACACCATCTGATTCGTGCTTGCAGACACACAGCTCTTTTTAGGTTCACTGGAAGGCAACGGTTGTAGTCACAACCTGGTCCCCTGCAAACCTGCCCAGGCAGGCTTTCTATGGCAACAAAACAAATATCCTGCTGTTATAGCAACTGGGGAACTGCAGGAAGGTCACAGACTTGCCTGTCATGGCACCATGTCTCATGTCCTGCACATACATCACTTGGCAATTAGAAGGACGCAACAGGCCAAGGGATCAGGAACTGGATGGGCACAAACATCAGAACACTTGTGGGACCATGTTAAACTCAAACTTTTGGTAGGGGAGATCATGGAATTGTGGAATGGTTTGGGTGGGAAGGGACCTTAAAGCTCATCCAGTTCCACCCCCTGCCATGGGTAGGGACACCTTCCACTAGACCAGGTTGCTCCAAACCCTGTCTAAGCTGGCCCGGAACACTTCCAGGGATGGGGCAGCCACAGTTTCTTTGGGCAACCTGTGCCAGCACCTTACCACCCTCACAGGGAACGATTTCTTCCCAATATCCCAATGTAAACCCACTCTCTGACAGTTTAAGGCCATTACCACAGCGTGCAAAGGCACTCATGGGATGGAAGGCACTGTGGGATGTGCTTGCTCCATATGTCTGTGGAGAACAGCTCAGTAACGGGAATTCCCTGCCACTTCCCGAGCCACTTTGCACTTGAGCTGCAGCAACACGGACAAGATACATCTGGGATCCCGAAAATCAACGATGCCAGAAACAGGGCCACGAGGGAAACAGTAATAGCAGCATTGGAGCATCAGGCAGTCCCAGGGCAGGGCAGGATCTGTGGATCTCTGCAGCCTTTGATGGAAACAAAGCCTCCCTAATGGGAAACGCTCAGAAAACTGCTTTTTAAGGCATAAATTTCTTCCTGATGTTCTGTCCTGGAGGATGGGGTGACATGAGGATCTCTGCACACACAGCTCAGGCTCCCAGAGCCCTGGCTGGGCATCAACTCCTTGCCTGGAAGATGCTGCAGGAGAGAAAGGCTGTTAATTTCAATGAGGAATTGAGTGATAGCAAGGTGAGGGTGGTGCTGGTTGAGTTCTCCCCAGGGGTTCTGAAAAAGGGAGCCTAAAGTCCAGACTCTCCATGAGCAGGACAGTACAGAAAAACCTGAGGGTCCAGGAGAGCCCAGGAGCAAAATCTGCACTTGCAGCAGCAAAAGGGACAGAGAGGCATAGAGGGCACAAAAAAGGGCACAAAGGGCACAAGAGGCATGAAGCCTCCATGGGCAAGTGTGGCTGGGCCATGGTGGGTGATACAGAGGGACCAACAAGGTTGCTTTCAAGGCTAGTAGAGCCTGTGTGGAATTGTATGATGCAGCTCTGTCTTCTCACTCTTTTTCCTGCTGGTCCAGCATCACAAAACAAGCACCTCCCTGAGCAGCATCCTAGTTTTTGGGCTGCTTCCAACTCCCTCAAAAGGGCTGGGGAGAGGGTGACAGAGGTAAGAACCTGCAACCGGTTCCCTGAGCTACAGATCCTGACATGCTTTGGCTTGTCAGTGCTGAACACAAGAACAGGTGGAAATTTGGCTTCTGCAAAGCCCTTCAGCCCCATCCTACCCAGGCACCACGCGGTGCCGGATACCCAGACACCTGCACAGCTGAGCTGCCCCAGGGACCAATCCTGCCCCATGTTTACCTGCACTCTGCGATGTCTGCTATGAATCAAGCCTTGAACCAGCTCCAAATTTCTTGTCATATCAACTCAAATTTTGGCAGTGGCTCAACCCACATCTTATCTTGAGCAGAGCCCCTTGGCAGCAGGCACCTCCCTGTTGTGTAATTTAATGATGTTATGGCTGGCTTGCAAACAGTAAAACAGAAAGGCCGTGACGTTATCTTAATAGGATTTTGCTTGCTGAACTCGGAATGTCACTGGCACCGCTCCCCAGCGTGGCAGAGGGGATGTGAACCAGCTCACAAACAGTGTAAATTAAAATTCAAGGTTCAAGGCATTTATCTCCTACAACCCCTCGTGTCTGATCCCTGCTAAAACCCCACTGGCTGGCTCTGGGAGCGGGGTTGGAAACACATGACTGGGGTGGTTGTTTCCTTTCTCCCTCAAATCTCAGCGGCTCCCAGTGTTGAGGCACCAGTTCAATGGCACAAGCAGCTGCTGGAAGCATCAGATTTCTGATTGCACAGATCTCCCCCTCTCCCAGTGCCATATTTTAATGCACTCGAGCAACTTTAACATCCAGGCACAGCGTGGCCCTAGAGGTTGTTGTCTGAGAGCTTCCTGCTTTAAACCCAGCCGGAGAGTCAAGCCGGCCCAGCCGGCACACGAGATAAGATTCCATTTTCCACGCATGAAAATAAAAGGTTGTAATAAATCCTTTGAAGGACTAAATCTGGGTGATTATAAAATGCATATTTTCCCCATTCCCATTTTACCTCTTTATTAGGAGGGCGGTTTGTAAAGAGCTGGGAATCCCCGCTTGGCAAACGGCCCTGGGATTTGTTCAAAGTGCCCATTTGTTTTCTTGCGGTCTCTGCCCCACATTCCTCCGGGAACTGCGGGAGAGGAGCTTGTAATGGACTTTAATGGAATTAGGGGCTTTTATGGAGGGAGGCTCAGAGTGGCGTGTCCTTCTCTGGGAAGCAGGGGAGGCACGGCAGATTCCTAAGCAGAAACATGTGGGAGACACAGAGAGAAAGCTGGAAGGTGAGGTTTGTTGGGAAGATAAGAACATGTTATTGGGCTGACAACTGGGAGGAAGACAAACAGGCTCTTAGGGAAAAACCCAAATATCTTCAGGTTGCAAACAGCAGGTTTCAGGGGGCACATATAACTTCTACCAGATGCTTCCTTCCCCCTATCCCTCCAAATAATCACATTGTCATGGAATGGGCTGGGTTGGAAGAGACCTTAAAGTTATTCTAGCTCAGCTCCCCTGCCATGGGCAGGGACACCTTCTACTGGATCAGGTTGCTCCAAGGCCCATCCAACCTCGCCTTGGACTCTCCCAAGGATGGGGCAGCCTCAGCTTCTCTGGGCAACCTGTGCCAGGGCCTCACCATCCTGATAGGGTAGAATTTCTTCCCAATATTCCATCTAACCCTGCCCTCTGGCATTGGGAAGCCATTCCCCCTTGTCCTGTCACTCCAGGCCCTTGTCCAAAGTCTCTCTCGAGCTCGCTTGGAGCCCCTTTAGGCACTAGAAGGGGCTCTGAGGTCTCCCCAGAGCCCTCTCTTCTCCTGGTGAACATCCCAATCTCTCCCAGCCTGTCTCCAGAGCAGAGGGGCTCCAGCCCCTGGAGCATCTCCATGGCCTCCTCTGGACTTGCTCCATCAGCTCCACATCCTTCTGGTGTTGGACCCCAGAGCTGGAGGCAGCACTGCAGGTGGGGTCTCACCTGAGCAGGGCAGAGGGGCAGAATCCCCCCCTCATCTGCTGCCCACGCTGTGGAATCAGCTCAGGGCATGCAGGGGGTTTGTTTCTGGGTCCCATCGCACACTGATGGCTCATGTTGAGCTTCACTTCCACCATCACCCCCAAATCCTTCTCCCCAGGGCTGCTCTCAATCCATTCCTCACCCAGCCTGTGTTTGTGCTTGTGTTTGCCCCAATCCACATGCAGGACCCTGCACTTGGCCTTGTTGAACTTGTTTCCTGGGTGAGCACCAAAGGCTGTGGATCAGAGCATCATCTCTCAGGAGGGACCTTAAAAGGGACTTCGTAATTCCATGAAGGAAAAGCATTTAGACTCGGGAGGAAGGAAATGTTTCTGCAGCCCTGCCTCCACTGCCACAGCCCGAATGCACTGCTCGGCTTGGAATTGCTTGGCATTTTTCCCCACCTTGTAAATAAATGATTACTGTGATCAAAATAATTAAGCAACTGAGCCCTTAAGTGACTAATAGAGACAATAATTTATATGTGTGAGGTTTATGGAAATGATGGAGTCCTTTTAGCAGTTCTCCCAGAGAAGTAACTTTCTTCTGGTGTTTGTTGGGTTTTTAACATACCAGAGCACAGAAAATGATATAACAAAGTCTGAAGGACTGACCCAGCTCCCTTGTGTACTCCAGGGTTGGGCTGCAGAGTATGGATGCTCTACCATGCTCCCAACGCACCACTGCTGGAGCTTACTTGCCACCAACACCTCCAGACACACCCCTGTCTCTCAAGAGACCCCTCACTCACCCCTTCAAGACTTTGGTGGCCCAGAGCCTTGTCTACCCTCTTGTCAGGAAACTGAAGAGAGTGAGAAGGGTCCCTCCTGGGCCTCCTTTTCTCCAGGG